CCGCGCCGGCTCGCACAAGCAGCAGGAAGCCACGCTGGAGGGCTGCGGATGGACAGGCTAACGCAGAAACCTCTTTTCTTTAAATAAAAATAACATTGCCCTCTTTCTGTTCATCTTTCCTTCTGGGGAGAGCACAGGCAACAGCCTCCTAATTCAGATAGTGTAACTGTCTTATTGTACCTTAATTTGCTGCTTAATTTTAATTATTCCCTTCATCGCAGTGTTAAGGAGGACTAGTGAAATATGCATCCACAGTGGCACAAAGTAAGGGTACTTACACAGTAATTAATAATTATATATAAGTTCTTGAATACAGAAGTGTTACCGATGAGAAGCTGCTCGTTCAGGGCTGTAAATAAACAGAAATAAAATCGAGAAATACAGAAATCGGAATTTAACACCCTTAGCCTGGCTATTGGCTTGYTTCTTCACCTCAGCAGTTCTTCGCTTCTTTTAACTCTTTTAACGTCGCGCAACGGCCCAAACGGCGGCAGGAGGCGCGTCGGGGCCGGCCCGCGCGGCTGCGGCTCCGGCCGCGGCTTCGCACCGGCGGCCTCGTCCCCGCGGCTCCCGGGACACCCACGGGAGGAGGAGCGAGGCGCTGGAGCTTCCCGACCTTCGGCCCGTYCCGGGTGCTTTTCACGAGGCGGGCGGGATTTAAGGCTGAGCACGGGAAATCCCGCATTACCGTGGCCACCCCCTGCCAGCCCGGCCCGGCGCCGCCGCGGACACCTAAAGCGCGCGGCCTGCGGGCGCCCGAGGGCCCTGCGCGGCGCGGCGCGCTAAAGCGGGYGCTGCGCATGCGCGAGCCCTTTCTCTTCCGGCGCTCGCCATGGCGGACAAGGAGTGAGTAGCGAGCCTGCCGCGTCGCCATCCGCCGCCATCGGCGCCCGCAGCGCGGCTGGGGGGCGCCCTGTCCGTCCCAGCAGCGCCCGTCGAGTGGGGCGAGCGGCTGGGGCCGGCAGCGGCGGCGGCGCCGGGTCGGGAGCGGCGGGAGGGAAGGAGGAAGGGAGGGAGCCGCGTACGGCCCGCCGGGCCCAGGGCCCAGTCTGCGGCCCCGCGGCCTCCTGCAGGCGGGAGGCCGCGGGGCTGGCGCTGCCCGGGCTGCCCATGCGGCTCGGGGCCGGAGCGCGGCGTGGCGGCCGGGCGGCCCTGCGTGCGCGCTCTGCCCGACGCGGTTAAGTTTAGCACGTGTTTTGTGGGATAAATCGGGTGCTGCCAGCTCGGGTCTCCCCTTACAGCTGCTGTAGAGATCTGTGTTAGTCTGGAAAAGGTTTGTTGGAGCTAGAGCTTTTATTGGTACAAAGTAAAACGCGTGAAGGTAAGTTCTTCAGGCTCCTAACTTGTGTCAGAATGTACAGTTGGTATGTTCTGTAAAGAATATATAAAGAATATATAAACTCTTTGAAAGCACCCAGAAGTAGCGCTGCAGTGTGTGGTGCTGGTGCACAGCACAGAAGTCAGTCAGATGCCCCATCTTTGTGCAAAAAAATGTCCTTTGGAGACTGTGTTAAGGTTTCGAATAACTGACAGCAGAGGGAAAACATGGAAGGTGCAGTAAGGAGCTGGGGAAGGGCTTCAAGGCTCGTGTTAGCATTAGGTATTCAGGACTTATTTGTGTTGGTGTTTATCACGTTCTGTTGCTGAAGAAGGTGGGATATGAAGAGTCTCTTTCTTGTGACTTAGAGCAAAGAAGCTGCCGGCTGTTCCGGAAACCCTCCTGAAAAAGCGCCAGGCTTATGCAGCCATAAAGGCCAAGCGTCTGAAGAGGATGTTGGCTCAAAAGAAGGTGAGTGTCTTATGTCTTTTTGCATGGGTTTTTTTATCTCTACAGTGGGCAGGTCAGTGGAATGCTATTGTTTCTGATATAAAACATTGGAAAAGTATTTTGGGTCTGGCAGGTTTGTATTTTGGTAGCATTTTGGTGTAAAACATTGACCAGGTGGGAGGAAAAAAAAGTGTGATGAAGTGTTTGTGGGAAGAACGAATGAATGAATGAATGAATGAATGACAGGTGTACAGTTGTGTAAAGTAAATTACCTGCAAGGCAAGAGTCTGTGTGGGGGTAAGTGTGGTTTATAAAGATATCATATTTGATGTAAAAGAGACTGTGTTACAATATTTGAAGCAACCTGTGTTGTGTTCAAAGACACCGTGAAATCTTAACACCTTCCCACTGTTCCAGCTTCGAAAGGCGCAGAGGAAGCTCATCTATGCAAGAGCCAAAGCCTACCACAAGGAGTACAGGCACATGTACAGGCAGGAGATCCGCATGGCCAGGATGGCCCGAAAAGCTGGGAATTACTATGTCCCAGCTGAACCAAAGCTGGCCTTTGTGATCAGGATAAGAGGGTAAGATATAATGCAGCTGGGAACACCTGTCAGTATAAAAGCAGCAGAGATGTTGTTGCAGTTATCCTTCTGTTTTGAGGACTTAGACAGGTAGATAAATCTGAGCTTTCCACTAGTAGCTTGAAATGTTGTTGGAATAATGTCAAATATGTRCCAGAAAATTACTTAGCTCTAGAATTATGATGCTGTCCATGAGTTTCTCCCTTGGGAAAACTGGTAAAAAGGGCAAGGTTGCAAATGTGTGAGGCAATTGTATTTCACCCTAAGCTTGATAAAATAATTTACTAGAACACAGTAGCATGAAGTTTTTCTCAAGTACTCACTTAAATGTGTTACAGGAAAGTGTTCTAGGAAACTCAGGAAAGATGTGATTGGAAGAAATATAGTCAGGAGAACACAAGGATAGTTAATTCTAAGAAATTTCTTTCAGRGTATTGGTTAAATGCTTTTCATAGAGTTAGATGAGCCTTAAGCTTATAAGTGAAATACATGGAGATAGCAAATAACTTCCTAACAACACTTGCTTCCTGTAACTAGTAGGATGGTGATGCGTGTACGATGGGAACAATACAGTTGCTTTTCTAAATCTACTCTTGCTTTGATGATACAGAGTGTTTTCTGGGCCCTAGACATTTAAATGAGACTTCTCTGCTTTCCAGCACCAACGGTGTGAGCCCCAAGGTCCGCAAGGTGCTGCAGCTTCTTCGCCTGCGTCAGATTTTTAACGGCACATTTGTAAAACTCAACAAAGCTTCCATCAACATGTTGCGGATTGTGGAACCCTACATTGCCTGGGGGTGAGCGAAATTGTCAGTTTGGGGATGTCAGCTTGGAATGTRAAGTACAGGATTAGTAATTCCTGTTTCTCCCTGGCTCTTGTTTCAGTTATCCCAACTTGAAGTCTGTGCATGARCTGATCTACAAGCGTGGTTATGGCAAGATCAACAAGCAGCGCATTGCTCTGACGGATAATTCCCTGATTCAGAAGCGCCTTGGTAAATACAACCTCACTTTAAAAAAAGTGTTGATTGCAGACAAATGCATTTTAAGATTTTTTTTTWWAAATTATTTGTAGTTTTCAATATGAAACTGATATTTAAATTAATATATCTTCCAGTAATGAGCAGGTCCTGCAATGGGAGTCTCATCATTAGCAGCCTTGAAGTTCCAAGTTTAGATATTTAGATACTGCTTGCATCTTATATCTTAATGCTCTGCTGGACTGACTTTTAAGTTACTATCAAGACAACTAGTCACTTGTGGGGGTGGAACTAATATAAAATTACACATGCGTGCGTGTGTATACACACACACACACACACACACACACAAACACTGTGCGCACTGTTTTAGCGAGGCTCCTTCTTTTCTGGCTGTGTTGGAAAGAAAACAGTGAAACAGTTTTGTTCGGTGTTTTTCCAGTGCAGTAAATGGTCGGATTCTGACAGTAACAGCATAATACTGGCAGGTCTGTGTCTTAATCACCTGCCTTCACAAAACTGTTCACTCATGTTATATATCATGGAACACTGTACAAGGGTATTAGCCCAAAATCCTTTTGGATTGTTCAGTAGCATCAACGTTTAATAGAATTTCACTGAGTTGCTTATAGGTAGCATTCAGTTGTATTAATACAGTTTTTATTCAAAGAACACAATATGTTTTCCACTAACTTTATTTTATATTTGACCTGATTGGCCAGTATTCAGCATTTGGACCTGACGCTCTTTGCCAAGTGTAACTGGAAAATAATGTTAAGTAGAGCTAATCTATATTAATTGGATGTATGTCAGGTGTCTTCACAAAGTATGTCAGGTGTCTTCACAAAGTGGCTGCTTTCAAACTTGCTCAGATTTATGGAGTTGAGTCAGTATGATGATAACTTCATAATTCTTACTTTTCTGATTTTCTTAGGCAAACATGGCATCATCTGCATGGAGGATGTGATCCATGAAATCTACACTGTTGGCAAGAAGTTCAAAGTTGTGAACAACTTCCTTTGGCCCTTTAAGTTGTCCTCTCCTCGGGGTGGAATGAAGAAGAAAACCATCCACTTTGTAGAAGGTGGAGATGCTGGTAACAGGGAAGATCAGATAAACAGACTCATAAGGAGGATGAACTAAAGGTAAAATATTACTGGAAGTTAATATAAATGTCTACTGTTCTGTCCCTACTATATGGAYTCCTACTTTTATTGCTTAAAGAATTTAATTTAGTATGTCAGCACTCATACTTGGATGGTCCCTTCTGTGTAAAGCTRTTTGGAACTACAGTGTTCTGATTTCTTCAGATCTTACTAAAGCTTAATTATCTGGAAAGAAATTAAATCTTGATTGTGGTTGATAAGTTTGTAGTCTTTAAGATACAAGAAATCTGGTTTAAAACACTTGGTTTTAGTGCTGGGGAACATTACGATGGCAAAAGTTGCAGTCTCAGATAGTGAACTCTTAATATTTTCTTAAACCTTTTGTGGTTGTGCTTGCAGTGTTTCTTCATGTTGTCTGACCAATGCAAAATGTGCTTTGGTAGGATTATGAGAGACTAAATTCTCAGCTTGCAATGTTCTTGTAGTCTGTTTTTTTTTTTTTTTTCAAATGCTCTAACTTMATTCAAAACTACTCAATTCTAAACTTCCTTGATAACACAACTAAGAACTGCCCCTTTGAAAGGCTAATGTGTGTATTTCACCCAGGTTATGTTTTTGGAATAGGAATGTTTCTTTCCTGTTTCTTGACACTTGTGGCTGTTTGGCATTGACAGTCGAGTTCAGAATTCATATCTGCTTCAAGCAGTCTGTATTATCATCTGTCATCAATCTGCCCTTACTGCTTTGAGAAATTTCTGCCTTTCAATCCCAGAGCTGTTTTTGTTTTGCAGAGTGCTAATAGCTTTCTGTTTTTCTTCTCTCCATATTTCTTGCATGGTAGACCAGCTTTAAATGTTGCACATGTCAAGTTTCAGTTGAGCATAAAAGGATATAAGCATAAGTTAAGCATAAGCATAAATTTTTTTTTTTTTTTTTTTTTGCTAAGGCAAATGGACTAGAATTTAGGAAGAGTTTGACTTTGACATTGGGAAGACTTAATAAGGAAATACCATTTTTTTTTTTCCAAATAGATACGGGGTTCTACAGCATTATCATAAACGGAGTTGCTTCAATAAGTAATTTTCAGAAGTTTATTTTTCTGAAGAGAGGTCTCTGCTTTCTTTAAAACCTTCTTAATGCAGTGTCTTTTATAGAAAAGGGGCATAGGACCAATTCCAGTCTGTTGCCTGTCTCTCTCAAAGCGCTTATACTGGACCTCTGAATTATGTGCTTTAATTTGGGAAACTGAGCTATTAACTCACTGTTGTAAATATTCTCTGCGTAGACTGCTCTCCCCATGTTCTCTCTTTCCCAGCTTGTTGTATATTGCTTTGCTTAGTCTCTGAAACTCTGCCGCTTTGTAGTTAGAATTTGAGTCTGTGGAAACTAGGACAGTATTGGCTTGCTGAAGATACTGTTCTTATAAAGATTAAGTAACTTGTCAGTGGGATGAGGCAGATAACCTGGAGGAACAGGATTCTAACACTTTTGTGCCTAGGATGGTTTTCTGTTGCTTATACTAGCATTCTTGTGAAAATGTTGCTGCTTGTAGTGTAAACTGGTAGATGTTTTAAGTGCTGGCAAATATTTCCCTTAACAATAAAGTTGTGAGGCTTGACAGCCAAGTTTGAGCAAAACTATCCTTACTTCATGTTCCTTTGTGGTTTCCCAGCATAGCAGAGAAGCTGCCATCCTTAATTGAAAACCTGCAGCTTTCCTGCTTCCTTTCCCATTCATCTGCACTGAAAAAACTGTGAAGTTTATTAACATCCCTGATTTTTTCAGGAGCCTTGATAGGGGAGGAAAGGTCACTGTTGCAGTGGTTACAAATGTCTCTGAGGAGCAGAGCATTAGCAGAGAAGTGGTAGGCGTACTCAGGTGATTGCTTGTGATTTGATGGGATGCTAGCACAGTGCCCTGTATAAGTAGCAGAAATCAGGACTTCATCTTCYAGTTTAATTTCTTGGAGATTCTGCTGGTGAGCAGTTATTTTGCTTCGGTGCAAACAAAAACATTTTTTAAAGCTYAAGTATTAACGCTTCTTGTCTTTCGCACTTGCTTTTGGCTATGTTCCTACTGTTCTGAGCTGATTATGTTTAAAATATAAGTAATAACCATTTAAACAACAGAAGAATATTATGTGTTTTGCTGATGTAGTAGAAGCCAGAGCAAAATGCACAGATGAAGTATTGTCAGAATTTGAAGTTCTCTGACTTTTTGTAGAGTCATGTACCTTAGAATGAACATTTCCCCCCCCCCCCAATGTATAAATGTGGTTGTCTGCCATTTGTCTTTATTTCTTATCTCTTAAGTGCTAACACTCAAAAACATCCATAGTAAAGAACTTGTACTAATTCCTTGTGACTTGGGAAAAGATTCGGGCATAGTAATTGATGCTGCTTTTTGACAACTTTGTTGTCAAAGTTCTGAATTCACTAACTCTGTGGGAACTTAAAGGGGWTATGCCTCAAGTTTGCTTTTTGCCTCAATTCTTGTATATTAATTCTTGTATATAAACTAATGAGAATAGGGTTATTGAAAATACAAGATCACAATATCTTAATATGTCTTAAAATACCAAGTCCATACCTCTTAAGCTGTTAACTAGGAAARCAGATACCAGTAATTCGAGGCAACGGACTTATAAACCTGTCAATGTTGTCACTTAAAATCAGTATTTTGAGTTAAGTTGATGGTTACTGAAGTTGTTGATATCTCTGTGTGATAGGGAACTGAAGTCTCACTAGTCTTGCACAGACTAACATTTGTGTTTAGAATAGATGCATATAGTCCACCCTGTGCAGTAGGAATGTATGAACTTTGCAGATTGCTAAAGTGGTTTCAGATCTCTGTAGGTCTAACTATATTTTGTTTGTTTTCCCCCTTTTTAGATTCAGATGCCCAGCTGCAATCTTCCCAATTCTGGTCTGTTAATAAAACCATCTTGCAGAAAACAATTGTCATCTCAACTGGTCTTTTTTATGATCCTTTTTTATAGTGATGTTTGTTGGAAAAAAMTATTTCAAATTGAACACCTATCTGAATTCACATATGTAGATAATGCTGTTTCACCTTTACTGGAAGGGATAGGGAATCTGGAAAGATATGTGCAGACAAGGGTTAATTTCTGAGTAGAAACAAGTATTTAGTTGTATTGTGATTAGAAGTGCAGTGAATGACAGACTTTTGCTCTGAAGTGCATGCTGCTGAGTGGACAGGATTCCCACTTAATTGTACTGTTCAGGAAATTTTGCAATATTTTTATGTGAATAATAGTTAAGGGCAGATAAATTCTCTTAATGTTTTAAGATTCTGAGTAATTATAGTAATTGTGTCAAGTTTGAATGACTTCAAATCGTTTTGTTTCAACAAAGGAAATGTAAAACTTCATAAAAGTGAAACACGCTGTAAATGTTAAACACTTGGTAATTCAGCTTTACAAAATCTGTTTGCGGTGTTTTATTTTAGATACTTTTAGAAGTGGAAACCATAAGATTCATGAGGGTATGAACAGTAGTTGCTAATCAACTGTAGCAGAGTGCAAATTAACCCAGAGAKTGGTGAAAATGCCCAATTCTTGACTTGGATTCAGACTGACTTAGTGTTGGAGACACTTTGAAGGATTGATTGCCTGCTGAGACATTTAGTAGAACGGATCAACAAGCTGCATCTGTTCTCACTGGAGACACTTTTCCAACAACAGCAGCTATTTGGCACTTACAGACAAGCTGTGTTCATCAGTGAAGGATGTCRTCTTAGAAGTTCCTGCCACTTTTTGGGCCATTTATAGAAAATCTTATTTCTACACTTCAGTTTTAAAAAGGACATTTAATAGTAAATACTTTAGGGCTTCAGGGCTAAAAGGACTAACAGGACTTTAAAAGTAAGTGCTTAAATAACTGAACCCRGGAACTAAAAGGTACTGACTTTACTGAAAATAGCTGCAGACTTTCRATGTCAAATGGGTGAGACAAGGTCTAAAAAGTACCTAAAATKAAGCAACAAATCCAACATTGAGACTTTGGAACTCCTAGATCAATTAAGATTCTTGGGTCTAAATATGATAGTAGTGTGTGTGTCCATTTAAGGTAATTGCTGCATTAAATCAGAAGAACTATGTTCCATACTTTTTTTGTGCAAGTAATAAGATGTTACTGAAAAAAATTGGAAAATGGCTTTGCAAGTGAGTGAAGTGAAACTATTTTAAGTATTTCATTTGTCAAACAGCTTTGTAACATGATAAGCATTATCACTTCCAAGAAGTTGGTGTTGAAGGACCTTACTTGAAGGATRCCATGCTGTGCTAAGTTCTGTTGAAGGAGCGTTTTAGCCTAAGTGTTCTTGAGGAGAAAGTTAATCATGTCCATGGTGCTCCAGTAAATCATTTTTCCTGACATTATTTGAGACATTATCTGCCTTTCAGAGGCCGATAAGGCATGATGTGGATACAGATGTTCAAGTTTGGCTGTGTTAGAGCTAGTTACCCTGCCTGATTAGAGGAGTTGATTGCTGTTTATACTGGCACAACTCTCAAGATTTTAGTGGCATCTTTTTGAACCTGGCCTATAGTATTCAATTAGAGAGAAAAAAAGGAGTTAGAGAAACTTGCACTGCAACTGAAGTACGGCCTGTTCAAGTAATGCATGAAGAATGCATTTTGCAATATTTACAGATTAATTTGAAATTWAAAAAAATGTAGCTTTTGAAAATAATCACTTGGACCCTAAAGAATAAATGGTAGAAATTCTTTGTTGAGCTTCTGTGATAAAGTTCAGGCTTTTGCAAACGTGCAGGAACTTTTTCACTGTGGCTCATAACTGCCTGGGGCTCACATGTCCCACAAGAAAATTCCTGTGGACGCTACATCCTTTTGCTCAGAAGGGCCCTCTTGTCTCCCCTGCACGCTGGGGCCGGCAGCTCCAGCCCGTAGCTGYGTGGGGAAGCGAGAGGAGGCTGTGGGAAGTGCTGAGGAAGGCCACGGCATGCAGGCCTGCGGGGGCTGAGGGGCTCTGCAGCTCATGGCTTTCAGTTCTTTGCTGGTGTCCCCTTTGTCCCTGCTTGACTSCCGCCAGCTGCAAAGTTGTGCATCTGGAAAGAGAATGGGAGCCCATCCCTAGAATCAGGGTTTTGAGAGAAGGTTATAAGATGTGATGGATAGTCAGCTCCCACTTGGCCAAATGCAGTTCTTGGATGCATTAGAAAGGAATATTACAAAGTAAGGGGGGAGATTACATTACTTTTGTTCCAGTAGTGCGTATGCTAGTGCCAAATGCAGTATCCAGGTYGTGTGCCAAGAATCAGGAACATGCTTGATAATACTCAAAGAGCTGAATTTATTCAGCTTAAACACAGGCCTGGTTATGAAATAAATACCTAGCTATAATTGCCTCTGTGGAGAAAAGCGGTTTGATTAGGGCGAGCTCTTTGATCTAGCAAAGGTATAATGGCATGAAATGTCTTAAAATTGAAGCTAGATAAACTCTGTCTTGAAGCAAACAATTTTAATGGAAGATAATTAGCCACTGGAACACTTAACAGTGTGCTTGATTTTTCTTTTTTTGTCAGTGGTCGTTTTGAAATTGAGGTTTGGGTTTCTTTCTCTCCCATAAAARATTTGCTACATATCCAACAGATTTGTTGAGGACAGTCCCACAATCTCTCTTGCTCAACAGAAGTTACTCAATCTGATTCAGGCTCTTGAAAAACTGCACATCAGAGCTTTGGTTTTAGAGGTCTGGCCACCCGGAGTGGAATTCAGAGCTCCTAATGGGTCCATCCTCCCTCACAGGGAAAATGTTACAGGTGTCCTGCTCTGACATCCCTGTGCTTGAAAAAGGGAATTTACGACAATGTAGCACAGAAAGTCACCGACTTGCAAGCAGCAACCTGTGTTCAGGAGAGAAACTGTAGGATTTCATGTACCTTTTTGGGGCTTTCTGTCTGAAATCCAGATCTCGGTTCTCTAGGAGACTGAGAATTGAGACCTACAGCTAAATATATTTTTGAGGGTGATGGGGAAGTGGAGAAGAGAGCGGGAGGGGATCAGCCCAGCGCAATGGATGGTTTCAGACCAGTCCTTGCATCTTCGGTTTGCCACAACCCCCTGCTTTCCATAGGCCCGTGGTGAGGAAATCCCAGCATTATTGCTCTCTATTGAAGCTGTGCTGTTGTGCAGTGGATTGCAGAAGTCCACGACAGCAAAAAGACCCTGATTTTAATTTAGATTGTGAAACTCCAGAGCAGTCAGAGGTTTGAAAATAGTTGAGATTAAAAAGAACAAAATTTTGGTTCATACAAGTTGGGAGATTTTCTTCAGGGATGTATAAAGTGATTTTTTTCAGTTACCTTTGTGAAGATGCACTTCTTTCTGGCACACTTGTTTTTCTAAAAGTTTATGGACCATAGTGGATTCTTCCAGGCACTTAACATTCCCAAACCAGCTTTTCCCTGCCTAGGTCCAGCTTAGATGTTGGTTGGCTCTTACATGGCAGGATTTTGTGTGTGATCAGAAGTTTTTCATGACTGCAGCGTTTGAAAAACCAATGCTGAGCGCATAAACTGTGGTGCTAAGAGGAGGATGTTCAGAAACAATTTTTTTTCCTCTCTGCATGATGATATCGTCCATTTCYAGCCTTACCCATGAAAGCTGCAAGTACTGATGATGTTGGTCAGATTGCAAATAAGAGCAAATTTGCTTCTAAGCAAATTTGAGTTATTTTTCTAATAGTAAAGAAGTATTTCCTGATGTTTACTTGAAAAGTGCCGTGTTTCGGTTTGTTGCCTYTCATCCTATCACCAGGCTCAACCCTCTCTACATCTTCCCTTCGGATACTTTTACACATTGATAAKATCCCCCCACTGTCAGTCTCCGGGTTGAGCAGTCCCAGTTCTCTCGGCCTTAAATTAATTGTTCAAGTCTTGATCATTCTGAATATCCCATATATGGGATACTATCACAGTCATATCTAAGAACTTTGACACCAGATATATTCACAAAGTTCTGATATACAAGACACGTCATTAAAACAGGACTTTGTTTTAGTATATAGTAGTATAGTGTATAGATATATATTATAAAATAGTATTATTTTGTTTCAAATTCTATCTTAAAAGATAGTCMAAAGTAAGAAAAAAACTGGGTTCCAGCAAAGTTCTAAGCATTTCTAATAGCTTGAAAAACAGTAGTCTCCTTTAATGTCTTCTTCCAGGTACAACTACATAGTAAGAGAACAACTAAGTTTCTTCCTAGTGAGTTTTAGTATTGGACCATTTTCTTATGAGTCTTGATTTTATAATCCTACCTTGTGTTAACCTGAGATAGTTTCTTTGCCATAACCTTCTTCTGCTACTGAGATGTCCTCTTAAAAGGATATAGCTGGAACCCATCCCCTTTGTGGGCAGAGCTGATGTGACTTGGAGCAGCGTAGATTGAGTTACTGTTCAGTTGGTTTTGATTCAGTGTAGGAAGTGTTGGTTCTGTGTTAAGAAAAAAACTAACCTGATTGTGTAGTAGGGTTTATGATATGCTTTATTCTGTAAGGTGGTTGTAGAGAAGGCAGGATGTGTATATATTGTAAAATGCAATGTATATTGCGTTTATTCATGGTTGTAAGTACTGGAGAGGGGAGCAGGGGAGTTAGCTCTGACTTGAGTATAATGTTAACTGACATGATGTTTTATTACTTCTCTGGTTTAGGTTTAATGATAGCTTTATTGGATTAGAGCCTGGTGGCTCAGAAGGCTTCTGCACAATCTTTGTTTCATTTCTCTACAGTCGTCTTCAGACTACCTCAGAAACCAGTGCTCTGAACTGAGTGTTTTGAGGGTATGGAACTTGGTAGGCAAAAGTCCCAGGAGGCAAGTGATTAATCTTTTTACTTATTTTAGTGACTTTACCTGAAAATCAGCTGTCACAATGTAGAATGGAGTGAATCTTCATCTTCTGTTTCTTAAGTTT